ACCAGTAATGATATACAAAACAGTAGATGAAGTCGTTGTGACACCAGTAATAATATACACAACAGTAGATGAAGTCGTTGTGACACCAGTAATAATATATAAAACAGTAGATGAAAGTCGTTGTAACACCAGTAATTGTATGCTGACGAACGGTCGATAAGACAATGAAAACTGCATACTTTAGACTTGTTAGTACCAAACGGGTTGATGATGTTTTATTATTCTTAACTTTGTTTAACGCAAATTGATGTACATTACTAGACATTTCTGTTAGTGTAAATAGAATAACGATCTATATCTCCAGAATGTATCTTTATTAGCTCAAGATTTCACCATTAAAGCTTCCTTACAAGTTCACTAATTCATTTAGTTTGAACCGTATTTACGAACTTGTAAGCTGTAATAGTAAAATATTGAGTTAATAAAGACAGGTCGTTATTTTATTAACATTAATATCATAGTTTTAAACTAAACATCCATTTGTAATCTACGAATCCGGAAGAGAGTTTGTGGCTATTAAGTTTTAACATTTTAATAATTTGTTAATATATTTTTTATCCATAACCCATGCGGTGATCAATGGTACTAATAAATTCAGAAATGGAAAAACAAACAAACAATAAACCATTCATTAATTCTTTAAAACAAGTTTGTTATTATGTTCACATTCTTCCTTTTCACGTGTTTATGTTGAATTCTTCTTCACCCAATAACAAGTAGAGATATCTGTTAGGCAGAGTCAGTTCTCCCTCTTTACAAAATTGATGTTGATGACAAAAAATTCCTAGTTTTCATCACATGTTTAGAATGTTTTATCTGGCCTTTAGTTCAGGTGTTGTGGAATTAATGGGGCAGACGATTATGTGAACAGCAACTGGAAGAAAGACAATATTTCCAAAGAGAACAATGTCAGCAAGACCTGCTGCCTGTTAGTTAATGACAACAGTCCTGAAGCCTACAAACAACCACAGCCTGTCAACGACACCCTTTGTCAGTCCGAAGATTCTTCTACGGTTAACGTTTACCGTCACCAGTCGGTAAGTGGCTTTGATTTGTTGGTACATCCAGGGGGCGGTGCATCCAGGTCCAATGGTGAATTGACCTCGGTTTAATCGATCAACTGAATATAAAAACGTAATAGAGGGCCCTGAACTTGAGCACAATAGAAAAAAAACGTTAAAAATCACGAAAAGCTTAAACAAATATACAAAATACATGTAACTATTCATAGTCCCCCACCCACGGTTATTCAGCGGTATGTTGTATGGATTTACAGCGCTCAAATCTGGGATTCAATTCAACATTCAATTAAAACAAAAGAAATCATTCAATGTATATTAAGTGCTGCTGACGATGTCTGTGTCAGGCTTTTCTCGCTTGAAGTTATTAAAGAACTATTTAAGGTCAGCTATGTCGCAAGTGTTTAAATGACTTGGTAGACATCTTGGGTCAATTTGAGATTTATCGGACATTATACAAGACAGATAATTCACGAAGAACTACTTTCTGAGTTTCCATAAGACTCCTGTAGAGTAATAGTTTTGGTGTTTTAATACTTATAAAACTTCGTTTTCCACCTGACGAATCAGTATAATTGTTTTGTGTATTTATTGAAATCTTATCGTCATAAGACTCCTGTAGAGTAATAGTTTTGGTGTTTTTAATATTATAAAACTTCGTTTTACACCTGACGAAT